CCTCTTCCCCTCCTCCATCCACTCCCCCCCCCCCCCCTCACGTTCCGGTCTGGAGGAAGCTGTGTGCACTTCAGCGAATCCGAAGGCTGGTTTTTGCGAATTTTCCTTTCGGTAATTCTGAAATTTTTTTGTTGTGCTTAAGGGGGGGGAGAGGAGGGAGGGTCTTCATGCTTTTTTTTGTCTTTTTTGGTTTTGTTTTGATTTTTTTTCTATCTTTTGTTGTTGTTGTTAATGTATTTCGGTTGTATTAATATTGTTTGTGTGATTCGTTGCGCCCATTTTTTGTGTGTATGATTATTATCAAATTTCCCCATTCTTCTTTATTACGCAATTCCTTTTTTACTCATTCATTTGCATATTTAATCGCTCTTGAATGTTTTTAAAGTCGCCATTCTCTCCTCTCTCTCCATTCTGTTATATTTATCTGTCTACCATCTAACGCTCTCTCTCTTTCTCTAATTCTCTCTCTCTCTCTCTCTCTCTCTCTCTCTCTCTCTCTCTCTCTCTCTCTCTCTCTCTCTCTCTCTCTCTCTCTCTCTCTCTCTCTCTCTCGCTCGCTCTCGCTCTCGCTCTCACTCAGTCACTCAGTCACTCAGTCACTCAATCACTCACTCTCTCTCTCTCTCTCTCTCTCTCTCTCTCTCTCTCTACCTCTCTGTCTCTCTCTCTCTCTCTATCTGCCTCTCTCTATCTATTTCTCTGTATCTCTCTATCTCTCTTTCTCTGTATCTCTCTATCTCTCTTTCTCTGATCTCTCTTTCTCCCCCCCCCCTCTCTCTCTCTCTCTCTCTCTCTCTCTCTCTCTCCTCTCTCTCTCTCTCTCTCTCTCTCTCTCTCTCTCTCTCTACCTCTCTGTCTATCTCTCTCTCTCTCTCTCTTTCTCTCTTTCTCTCTCTCTCTCTCTCCTCTCTCTCTCTCTCTCTCTCTCTCTCTCTCTCTCTCTCTCTCTCTCTCTCTCTCTCTCTCTCTCTCTCTCTCTCTCTCTCCTCTCTCTCTCTCTCTCTCTCTCTCTCTCTCTCTCTCTCTCTCTCTCTCTCTCTCTCTCTCTCTCTCTCTCTCTCTCTCTCTCTCTCTCTCTCTCTCTCTCCTCTCTCTCCCCCTCTCAATCTCGCTCCTATAATGGCCGATCCAATTACTGGGCTACATGCTTGTTGATTGTGGAAACAAGGACTCAGATTTTTGAGTATACGAACGGGATCCTATTCCTTTGTATTATATATATATATATATATACTAAATATTATATATATATATATAATATATATATATATAATATATATTATACAGAATGTATACGCACACACACACAACACACACACACACACACACACACACACAACACACACAACACACACACACACACATACACACACACACACACACACACACACACACACACACACACACACACACACACACACACACACACACACACACACACACACAACACACACCACAAACATATATATATGTGTGTGGTGTGTGTGTGTGTGTGCGTTGTGCGTGTGCGTGTGTTGTGTGTGTGTGTGTGTGTGTGTGTGTGTGTGTGTGTGTGTGTGTGTGTGTGTGATATTATATTATATATATTATATATATATATATATATGTATTATTATATGTATATATATATATGTATATATATATTATTTATATATATATATATATATTATATATATATAATAGTATATATATATATATATAATATATGTATGTATATATATAGTTCTGTCTCCCAGCCTGTTTCAGACAGTGCTAATTGGTCGACAGTGCGTGGATGTTCACCTAATCCCTGAAACCCTGGGAATGCTTCAGGAGGACTTGGTCGCTTAGTTAAAGGTTGCGTCCTCAACACAATCTGGATCCACACTGGCGGCGTGTATGTGGTTGTGTAGAGGTGTATGTATATAAATATATATATACATATATTGTGTGTGCGTGTTTGTTTATATGTGTGTGTGTGTGTGTGTGTGTGTGTGTGTGTTGTGTGAGTGTGTGTGAGTGTGTGAGTGGTGTGTGTGTGTTGTGTGTGTGTGTGAGTGTGTGTGTGAGTGTGTGTGTGTTGTTGTGGTGTGTTGTGTGGTGTGTGTGTGTGTTGTGTGTGTGTGTGTGTGTGTGTGTGTGTGTGTGTGTTGCGTGGTGTGTGTGCGTGTGTTTGTGTGTGTGTGTGTGTGTGCAAATATATGTATATATGTATGTATATATATATATGTTTATATATTATATATGTATATATATATATATTATATATAATATATATATGTGTGTGGTTGTGTGTGTGTGTGTGTGTGTGTGTGTGTGTGTTGTGTGTGTGTGTGTGTGTGTGTGTGTTGTGGGGTGTTGTGTGTGTGTGAGTGTGTGTGTGTGTTGATGTGAGTGTGTGTGTATGTAATATATATATATATATATATATATATATAATATATTTATATATTTCTTTACAACTTCTACCCCAATAGCGGTCAAGTACCCCAATGGCGCACGATAAAATACAATGGTTTGTTTAACAATAGAGCGGACAGGAAAACATAAAGGACAAACATTGTCCTTGTGCGACTAAATTATATCACTGAATTTAACAAGTGTACTTTGTGTGTGTAAAATGTGTATTTCATTGGAATGACGGCATTAGCAACATAGAATACCCTATAACGTAATTCAATATAGATGATAGTGAGTATAAAGGGAATTTGGTATATAACGTGGATGAAGATAATGTATATGATAGCTGTTCTGTACTGAAGATAATCTCTATAATGTGCGAGTACGTATACTGTACCTACAGTGTGGGGTATTGTCCATGTATGGTAGTAAGCATTAGGGATATAATGTACATGTTGATCTGTACTAGAAATAAGGGATATACTAGATACACTGTACTAAATGAAGGGAGAAATCTATATGCAATGTACTTTTAAAATGTCATTTAATCTACCTATACCTCATATATTCTCATAAAAACAAAAAACAAAACAAAAAAACAATGCCAATCTTTATTCCATCAGCACAATCCTTTCCAATTCATTTCTTCAACCCAAATCTAAGCAATTCCATTTCACTATTAAATGATATGAAAAACTTACCTTGAAAGAGGGGCAGAAGTATGCGACTCAAGGTATGTTCTCCAAGGCGTCCCTGGTAACCCTCGCCATCCTTGAGTGGGTGTTTTGGTGGGCTTGTCTGCAGCAGTGTGGGTGGGTTGGTGGGTGGAGGTGGGTTGTTATTGGTGTAGGCATATTTTGTGCGTGTGAGGAGATGTGTGCGGAGAGAGAGGTGGGTGGGTAGTGAGTGTGTGTGTGTGTGTGTGTGTGTTGTGTGGTGTGGTGTTGTGTGTGGTGTGTGTGTGTGTGTGTGTGTTGTGTGTGTGTGTGTATGTGTGTGTGTGTTGTGTGTGTGTGTGTGTGTTTTGGGTGCCCCCCCCCACCCACCCAAAAAAAAAACGAAGCTATCTCAAATTGTCCAATCAACATAAATTTACGGGCATTGTTTTAACAGCTACATGCTGTCATGTCGTGATGAAATACGACACTGTTAATTTTGGACAAGGAAAGGGAGGAGACATATCTGTTTCTCTATATGTATGTATGTGTGTGGGTGTGGATGCGTGCATGTGTGGATTTTACGTGTTGGTGCTTGTGTGTGTGCTTGCTTGCTTGCCAGCGTGCTTTCATTCGCTGGCGTGTGCTCTCCCCACCCACCCGGCGTACCCAAGGAGCCCGCCTGACCCCCCCCCCCCCCCAGTTATCGCTCCGCCCTCGCGTGTTTGGCTTCCTGTCGCTCAGCCTCCGTCAGCTGTCGTCGCGTCTCGGAACCTCCGTCGCTCGCACTTTGAGGGAAACTAATATTTTTAGATCTTGTTGTGCATCATACTTACACTGCTGTGATACCTTTCGCCCCTGTGTAGAAGGGGGTGTTTTGGCCACGAGACTGATCTGTGTTCCATGATTCCTAATATTTAAAAGAATTACTGGTAGTGAAATTTCGTTTATTTCAAAGCTTCAAGAGGTTTCTTGTTATATCATGTGCTTCCTTCTTTCTTTTTCTTTCTTTTTTTTCTTCTGCTAATTTTCTTATTCTCCTCACTGTTCTGCTTCCTCTTCCCATATGTCCTTTTCATTTTATCTTCTTCCTGATATTTCATTTTTCAACAAATCATTTCTCTTTCTGTAAGTAAACGTAATCCTACAACCAGCAAGTTTTCTATTATTTGAAGCTTCATTACTTTGCAATAGCGACAGATGTTAAAGAAACAACAGAAACTTAACACCTAACACCTACCCGCACCTATATGCACCGACCGTCCTTTTTTCACAAGACAAATGTTACCAAACAGCCATTTTGATAAGCGCCTATTTTTGCACCCACTACTATTTGTCCAACCCTCCCCCCTCCCCCCAAGCGCCCATGCATAACCGCCCACTTTCCCCGATAGACCAATCACAAATAGGCCACTTTCCACGTAGCATTGGTTATTTTCCCCTTAAAACACCCGTCAATAGCTGCCTATTTTTGCGGTCATCACTAACTCCATATTTCTCCCGAAACATACACCACTAACCGCTCATTGTCCCCAACACATTCGATACCCCATTTCCCCCCAAACACTTATTAATCCCCTCATTCCTCTTTATAAGAAAAACAGCCAAAACCACCTATTTATTTCCCCCTAAGCACCCATCACCCCTATTCCCCCTTTCCCCAACCACCTATTTTCCCAATCCCCCCACTTTCCCCCACAACCACCAATACCAACCATCCATTTCCCCTAGCCACTTATTCTCTCCTTCCCAACTTTCCCCCACAACCACCCCCCATTTCCCCATACTTCCCCCCACAACCAACCACCCATTTCCCCCCAGCCACTCATTCCCCAATTTCCACACTTTCCATTTTCCCCTTCCCCCCCCCCAACCACCATTCCCCCCTTCCCCAAGCCAGCCAACTACCCATTTCCCCCCAAACAACCACCACTAACCGCCCCTTTTCTCCCCTATCTCCCGCAGCGGCCTACGAGCACGTGGTGGAAAGGATGGGCGAACTCAACGGCACCGCGGACGCCCACCACACGGACCTGCTCTTCCTCAAGGGCCTCATGGACTCGCCCATCATGAAGTCGCTCGTCAAGGTAGGGCGCTGAGGACCTTCCGCGTCTGGCGTTGGTAGGGTCGTTTTTAACGCTATTGTGGTCGTCGTCATCATTCTCATTACTGAGACCATCATTCTCATTATTATGATCATTATTCTCATTCTGATCATCAGTATTATCGTTATTATGATCTTCATCATTCTCATTATGATCGTCCTCATCATTATCATTATTATGATCTTCATTATCATTATTATGATCTTCATCATTATCATTATGATCGTCATCATTATCGTTCTTATGATCGTCACCATTCTTATTATGATCGTCATCATTATCGTTATTATCGCCATCACTATCATTATGATCGTCGTCATCATTATCGTTAAGATTATCGTTGTTATTATTAGTAGTAGTGGTATTACTACTGCCACTGTTATGACCAGGGTTAAAGGTATTGTCATTCTTGCTTGTAGCAGTTGCAGAAGTAGTTTTGTTATCATTATTATCATCGTTTTTGTCATTATTTTTTGTCAGTAGTAATAGTAGCAGCAGTATTATTATCATTGGGATTTTGTTGTTTATCGATGATCTGAACTTTCTTGCGATATGCAAATAAACTTGATATTCCTCGTTATTTATAAACTTGACTAACCTTACGTGTTTTCCTATTTTGGCTTGACTTTTAAGATGTTTTCATATTGAGTTTATATTTTAAAACGTTATTTATTTGCAATCTATTATTCATCGTTATGTATGGAATTAGTGCACATCTAATCTCTGGATGAAGAATGTGATTAGAAAAATTAGTCAATGAATGTTATAACATTTAGTCATCATATTTACCTGCCAGGTGATAATTACAGCTATTGATTTAATGGTAAAGTCTTACACAACATTGAATCACTGAAAACAGTTGCTTATTGTAAGAAAAACAAAATAATAATGATAATAAGAGTAATGATTTTAAAATTGAATGAAATAGATAAATAGAAATATGAAAGATAATAATGGTATTTCGGCAATATTCACGACCGGGCTTTCAGGCACCGAACGTAGTAACTGCCCGCTTAATACTATGTCATAACAAAGCGTAGTGAATGAAATCAGTTTTATGAATGAACGAGCGCGAGTAAACGACCCCGTTAAACAAAAGACGAGAAAGCGCTTGTAGTGTTTGTGTAAGTATCGACCTCCCTTCCCCCCCCCCTCCCCCCCCCCATCTTCACCCTCCTGCTAAGCCTCTTCCTCCCGTAGGTGGCTCCCCCCACCTCCCCCTCCTCGTTGTCCCTATCCCCCTACGTACAGCCTCCCTCCCCTCCTCCCCCTCCTACTCACGCCTCGCAACCTCCTTCCGCCTACATGCATATCCCTGCCCCCCCCCCTCCCCTTTTTTCCCCTCCCCATTCAACCTCTCTCCTCCCCCCCTCACGCGCCCTTCCCCCCAATGCAGCTCCCGTCCCACGCAAACCCCCCCTCCCTCCCTCTCATCTCCCCCTCCCCCCTCACTCGCTACCCAGGCCTCTGCCCCCTCCCTGCCCCCATACCCAACCCCCACCTTTCTCCCCCAACCCCTTACCCACCCAGCCCCCTCTTCCTCCACCCCCTATATCCTCCTATGCCCACCTCCACCCCCCCCTA